ATAACAGAGACTACATCGTACGACGAACTACACCATGATATACAGAACAAGCTGAACGTCGATTTATCTCTATACAAAATGGTACTGAGATATCAATTCCAAGAGCATTTGCCATTTTCAATTCCACCGGCAAATGTTACATCTGATATTGACGTGAATTATCTGTATGACTTGAACAAAGTGCAACGAGCACTGATTTTCGTGACTTTAGTGAGGAAGGTAGACATGAACATTCAGATGAACATGATAGTAATGCAAATGATTTTTGGGATACAATGAAGATTGTTCGCAATGATGACGCTGATATTCCCGAGACAATTGTTGTTCACCGTAATACCGCTGCGGGGTAGCCATCAACGGAACGATCACTGCAAACGGCTCCAAAAAAGTCTCGAGCTGGCCCTGTGTCGACATGAATGGTCAGAGTCGTACACATATATCGTGGAGTCAGCAAAAACAATCTCCACGGCAATGATATATACGTGTACAAGCCTCCCATGCCTTTCCCCTGAGCCTCGGCAACAGCCCTACGACCCATTCGGCCATATATTCCGGCAGCACATACTCGTTACCGGTACTTTGCAGCACTCAATACTCAATGTCAACAGCACCAAAAAACTCGGTGCTCAGTATGATCCGACCGACATGTCGAATGATCGTGGATATCGTAGAGCTCGATCTTGCAATAATTTCATAGCCATGTGGATGTGCTACATCAAGAAATACATATAAAAAACAAAATAATTATGTATACATGAGAAATAACAATATGACTATTTCACTTACATCGTTGACGAGCCACGTCCCTAAAGTGGTGATATCGTGAAACCACTTATAGGCATTTGAGATCGTCTTCATTCCAACGATGCGACTAACTCTGAAAAAAAATTGCAAAATACTTACTCAGGCTTAATTATTCTCCACTCCGTCTCGAACGCTTTCCAGTTGGCTGCGTTCACCTCCCGAAATAGATTGGGGTATGTCCCGTCGACGAATGTCCTCCTCTTCGCCTTGGTCGTGAATGGAGAAACGACGTACTGCGAAGGCACCCGAACCCTCTTGTCGATCACCTGCTTCGGGGCATCAAGGCGTGCCTTTTTCCTGCAGCCACGTTGGCGTACGCTCATCCTCCACCATGGGGACCACCATCTCCTCAGGGGCCAATGCCTCTGTCATACTCTTCTCCGGGCTCCCCACCACCACCACGATCAGGGTTACCCCCTCCGACTCCCCACATCCTCCGGGGCCTCCATCCTACCATTCGGGCCCTCCGTCACACCCTTCAGGGTTAACAAATATGATTGCAACGCATCATTATCCGTCCGAAAATTGCCCCCTCCGTCATCCCATAAATTACCTCGTCCGTCACTCCCTCTGTCACCCCCTTTGTCACCCCGTCCCAAGCCTATTATATTGCCTCGGATGGTTGCGAGCTCCTCATTAAGATCTACCACGTGGCGACGTAGAACAACGACATCATTAGATAAATCCTCGATCCGTCCCCTAAACTCACGTGACATCTCTCTCGTCTGTTGACATATGGTTGATCATGACCTTAATGTTTTGATTATAACAAATAAGTCCATCTTGTTTACTAACAAATTGAATTGAGTGTTTAAGCTTTCAAAGTTATAAAGATTATTATTCACACTCAAATGAAGTACAAGTGAAGGTTAAACAAGCATTCAAGACAAATCATTCGAGACAATAGTGATTTACATGTCACAATCAAATTGAAACTTAACAAAATTGCAAATCAAGATACGAGCCAAAGAGAGGCTCGAAGAGATCAAGAATAATGAAGATAGAGTTATTTATCGAACCTCATTTATATATGTAAATGTATAATTCGTCAATATTTAGTAAGTGCATAAAGTTCAAATATTTCTCATAAATTCATCACTTGCATAAATTGGTTTGACATGAAAGTGATTTTGAAAAAATGAACATTTGTAATATATCAAAAATCTTGAAAAATCATTTTCAAACGTCCCTCAAAAGATCACACTGCAACTTTCAATCAAAAAGTTATACTCCGATTTTCAATCTCATATTGTGATAGATTTTTGACACGTAAGATGATCTAATGTGAAGATGATTTCTGAAGTAAAGTTGTATCCCTTTGAGTTAGCTTTCCAACTCATTTTGAATCACCTTAATCGTACATCGAAAGAGAAAGATATGATTAAAATACTGAAAGCTGTCCGCCCTGTCTGCAACTTTCGGTCAACCGACGGTAGACCGAAAAGTCAACTTCGGTCGACCGAAATGTCAACGATCTGATTTCCAACGGCAATATTACTGTTTCGGTAGACCAAAAGTTACTGTTCATCAACCGAAAGTTCCTGCAACTTGTTTTTCTTGCTCTATAAATACCTATCTCTTTTCTATTCGATTTGATCAACTTACAAGAGATTTTTGAGAGTTTTTTTATTGAGAAATCATTGAGTTTACTTGAGTTTAAATTCTATTTCATTTATTACAAAAGAATTTCTTGATTGATTTAACCTATTTAATTCATCTTATCAAGAAATCTTTTTAGCAAAGAACTTTTCACAACTTCATCTATTCTTCATTTTTGATAAAAGTTTTTTTTGCCAACATTTTTATTAAAGTGTAAGATCTCTCTTCATACTTGACGTGTATTATTTGTTAAGAGAGATC